AGTCTTGGTCTTTTTCAAAGTTAAGTAGACCTGACTTGTATCCTTGAATTTTACATCCTCTACACATAAATGCACCTGGTGATCAAATTGAGTTGTGTCTATAGCAAACTCCCCACACCTGAGAAATCAAAAAAAAGCTACTAAAATGACTGCTTCTAATAAAACATCTGTGTAGGGGGTGAAAACTCCTTTCTTTAAAGCTTTGATCAATTGTGCAATTAGTATTAAAGTGAGTAAAATATTTAAAAAAAAAAATAAATGCATGAACACAGACACTTTTACTAAGCACGAACACCAAATTCTGATCTATATAACCAATTTCAGTTAATTGTTCAAAAGTTGGCTGATGAATTACCAATTTTCCATTCTGGTCACTCTCTGACTTGGTGTGTTTTTTCTCTGTTTCTACTAGCAGATCCAAACTTTGGTTGTTGTTTAGTCTGGTATGTGCTTCATAAAGTTCTTCAGACTTGGACAGCGTGATATGTCTTGGACGACTGCAAGTATAGAAAGTATATGAAAAATGTTACTACCGGTATTCCAGTTTTTGATTTGAAGTTCAAAGTCAATACATAATAGCGTTGTAACCAAATGATGTCAACATATTTCATGAATATTCATTTTTACGTCATCGCCCCGAAATGTGAACATACAAACTTTGACAGCCTATTAAGTGCCCACAGGTATTTCTGTGAAGTCAAATGAATGTACTGTAGTTTTTCACTATGTAACAATGACATAACCAAATATATTGATTTATCGACAAATTAAAAGCTCATTCTAGAATATTTATTACTTCTTTCAAAATTGTAGTGCATGTTTTTTTTTATATCGAACCGTAGGACCAACACTTGACTGAGCATTGATGTGGTTTAAGAAAACAAATGAAAAAAACATTTTCACCTTTACTCATCCAACTATTCTCTACACATTATAATTACCGATAGATGAAATATTTAATGTCCAATTATGAATCATTAAAGTCACTTACATTATTTTACTATTAATCCTTATCAAACCATCATCGTCACTTTCTTGTTTCACCACATCTTGGATTCTCACTTTACATTTCTTTTCCGCCGGAACATAAAGTCTTTCAGCATTTCTTAGAATTTCTTCAATGAGCTCGGTAGCTGCCAGGTCTAAAGAAGTAAAATAAAGCACTTAATATGAATTGTAATGTTGTATTATTTTCTAAACTTTGTTAAAGTTTTTAACATATGTAGTAATTAAATTGGATATTTACAAAAGATTTCTGACCCAGATGAATATCACAATTGTAGCATTTAGTTTAGGGAATATACTATAAAAGTTCCAAAAAAATATATTTGAAAATACAACTTTAACCCTAAGTTCGTCCAACATAATTTTTTCTTTTCAAATTTGGTGCAATATTTTTAAGTAGTGGATATAACTCCCCATTTTAATGATTTGAGAAATGTGATATATTTTTTGACATTTCCATCCAAACAACAAACAAGCAGCCTCTCGGCTGAGATAGCTCCGCTGTTAGCAATGCACATTTGAATTAAAGAACAGAAAGTATCA